TTTCATCTGCCGTGTTTTCTAGCTGGCATGCTACAGCCAGTTTGATTTTGTAATTTATGTCGTCATGGTCAACGACTGACATTGGACCCATCCTTATGGTCCTAACGTTGACTTCCTCACCCTCTGAGTCGGGTGAGTATTGAGGTCCTTTGTATGGGTCCTCTACTTCTGTCAGGGCACACCCCACCTGACCCCATGCCGTGCCGCCCTACTCCGCTTCCCCGCTATCACCCTTTGTCTCTTCTTTCCCCTTTTCCTTCTTTCTTTCTATTTCCTTCTATGGTCGACTTCCCTTTCTCTATTACTAACACACCTAACCCCACTCCCCCGATCGCCGCACCCGCCACACGCATTCCCACTCACAGAGCGGCACACCTCTGGGATCTCCCACGGAGATACCCAGGGTGTGGCTGTGTGCGGGGATGACATGGCTCCTCCCACGTGACCCTGACCACATGTATATAATAGCACCTGGGGTGGGAACAGAAGAAGCAGCCTTCTTCTCAACTTCCCACTTCAGGTAAGTACTGTAGCTTCCCCCTTTTTTAATGATAACCAACTTCCCACTTCAGCCTAAGTGGTCGGGGACGCTCACCCCGTGACGGGATCACCACTACGCACAGCTGCTATCTGTCCCACCAAGTCCTGCGTGCAGGGACCTCGCTGCTTTTGGAGCTGTCCCTGACAACTTCGAAGCTTGATGCTTCGGAGTTACCAGAGTTGTTCTCTGGTTTCTCATCTGATGAGCCTTTCAACTCTTCATCCGTTGAGGTTGTGATCTCCATGGCAGCTATGTGCCTTGGTTTTTCATCACCCATTGGGTAATCTTTCGTTTGCCCTATTTTGCCGCATTTGCTGCAAATTGGAACTGACTTTTGGTCAGTTTTCCTCGAGTTTTTCGAGGATGTATCCTCTTTCCATCTGGGTTTCAGCTCTTCAGGCTTTTTTCCTGATGGGAGGGCTCTACTGCGGCTCGTGGTTGCTGTGGTAGTTGTTCAGGTATAGTAACCTGATTTGTAGGCTGAAGACATCTTCAGCCCATTGATTATCTTGTCTACATGAGATATTGCTTTTAACATCTCCTCATTTGAGGAGAAGTCTGCTCTGATTCTATCATGAGCAATCATTTCCCTCTTCCATTCAAGGGGAATGTAGTTTAGGATCCTGGCATTGAAGGACGCCTGGTCTGGCAGCGTCACCATCTGGGACGCTGCTTTGGACAGTTCTAGGTAGAACTGTTTTAGGCCTTTTTCCGCTTTGTATTTGACGTTGCGGTACTTCTTTGTCATGTTCAGCACAGCAGAGGCTTTAATGAAAGTTCTCATTAATATGTTGAGAACTTCGAGGAACATGCCCTCGTCTCCTCTGAGGAGAGTTTCGTCTCAGAGTCTAATTCCGAGGTCGAACACGGGCCCCCCTAATCCACGAATCAAGCAGTCCAGGTGGACTTCGTCGAATTGGGGACCTTTGCATCCTTGTGAGGCGAGGAATCCCAGTAGTTCTGTGAACCACTGCCAGAACGATTCCATGTCGTTCTCCCCTGACCATTTCTTGTCAGGAAATGCTGGCCCAATTCTTTAGGGCTTCAGGCTTCACTCCTTCTGGGTAGGGAGTGAGTATTCTCACTTCGGCCATTCTTATGGCCTTTTTGTACCATTTCTCCAGGTACTCTTCTTGCTCCCCTGCCTTTGCGGGGTCGCTATCCAATGGAGATCTCTCCTTTGGGGGGGTTTTTGCTGGGGGAAATCTTCCTCACAGTGTTTCTTTGGTTTTAGGCAAATTCGCCTGAAGTTGTATTTGTATTCTCTCATTGTTTTGAGAGGGTGTGATTGAGTTACCTCTCTGTTCGAGAGGTTCATCATAAGTGGATGTTTGGCCGAACCTTTGGTACATGCCAATTCTCCTCCTAATCTCTGAACAATGCCTTCTTTCGGCATTGTCTTCTCCTATCCTTGGGAGAAGGATCTCCTTAGCATCTCTGTCGAGTCGCTGATGATATTCCAGTGTGCTTTCACTGGTGGTTCTTTTCGTGAATTTTTCACGAGTTCTATTTATGTCCTGGACCGTGGTCCAGGGGTGTTTATTTGTTTCCTCACTCTTTTGTGAGAAATTTATTTCCTTCAGCAAGTTTGTCTGTTCGCTGATTTTTTCAGTCAACGCATCGATTCTGTTGGCCATTCTTTCTAGAGTTATCTCTAGACGAGCCATACTATTATGGTTTGTTTCCTCGATCTTTTTTTGGATTGAGTTTATCACATTTATTATGCACGATTCCTGGTTTTCCAGGAGGAAGTTTGGTTGGGCTAGCAGAGACTCTCCCCAGTTGACATTTCCGCTTCTGGGGGTTCCAGAATGGGTTCTTGGAGTGAACACTCCACGCTCACTTTGTTTAGGCGAGGCTGTTGCGGAGGGTGCTTCCCTTTCATAGAGGGGTCTGTTCACTGGTTTTTCCTTACTTTTACATAAGGCTTCCTCAGCGAACTCCCTCATTTCAGTTCGCCTCCTCTTCATTATCTCGGAGACCTCCTCCGAGGTTGGCAACCTTGCCTTGTCTGGCATGGTGTGTGGGAGTGTAAACAGCGGAAGTTCTTTTGGAGCTTCCACGCTCTGGGAGATCCTGCTCTCAGGGCGTATTGTCAGGATCTGGACCCCAGCTGGGAGTGGCCGGAGGGCGAGGCCGGGTGTGGAAGCTGGGGTACTCTCCCCAGGTGCTAACTCCTCGAAGTCGCTGAGGGGACTGGCCTCAGCCTTCACAGGGAATGAGCTGGTATTCATTGAAAAGCAGGTAAGTTGTTACGGGAATGGGTTCCAGGGAACCCAACCTGAGCCGTTCGACTCACTGATGGAGGTGGCTGCGTAGCCATCAGAGGGAGAGCGGAATAGGATGAGTGTACGGAAGTACAACCTGTGGGTTGGCCAATGGTAACTTGGCACTCCTGGGAGCGTACTGGTAGCGAGTATGATGAGGGCTCCTTGAGGGAGCCACTTGGCTGTCTGCTAACGGGGACTTGGCGCTCCTGGGAGTGTGCCGGTAGCAGGTGTGCTGGGAGTGTTTGGCTAACGGTGACTTGGCGCTCAATGGAGCGTGCCAGTAGTGAGGGATACTGGGACTCCCAAAGGGAGTCACCCAGATGGTGGCTATCGGTGACTTGGTGCTCATGGGAGCGTACTGGTAGCGGGAGTTGTTGGGGAAAGTGGGTTGGTGGACCAGTGCACGGTAGTGGGTGACCGTGGGAAGTGGGACCCACAGGTGTGTGGCCAGGCATCCTGGAGCTGCCTGGACCATATCCCTCTCCTAAGGAGGTGGGATAGGCTACAGTTCCTGATAGGGAACTTCTGGTTGGATGGGAGTGATTGCTCAACCACCCGGTGGACTGGTGGGAGTGGGCAGCAGGAGGTTGGGCGTGGGAATGCCCTCCTCGTTGCGGTTTTGTCATGGAGAGGATGAATAGGGAGGTGGACATGGTTCCAAGGTTACAGGTTGAGTTTACAGTGGTGGCACAATGGTGAGGATGTTACAATTGCGGTACAAGGTTTTTGGGTTATGTATTCGATAATGAGAAAACATTTTTCGGCATCTGCCTTACACATCATATGACTTCTAACTATCTAATATAAAAGTCACAATGGTCAAGGGAAGTCCCTTGAAACTCAACAAATTCCCCAGCCAGCACCAAAACCCAGTGGGAAAGCTTGGCATGGGGTTTGACAGCGAAATAAAGGTGCAGGGACCAAGGGTTTGATTGTTCATAGTCACGGACCATAAGATTCTAGGACCATTCCTATAACATAAGTACACTTGCCTTCACAGGGAATGAGCTGAGAAGAAGGGTAAGCTTCTCAGCCCCCTGTGAGGCCGACACAAAAGGACCCTAGGAACTATACAGTTCCCGCTTGCTGCCGACTTTCCATAACGGGTGTGACCCATGGGAAAGTTCTGGGCGAGCTGCTCGCCCAGAATGTTCCCACGGTTGTGGCTGTACATTTCTGGGCGAGTTGCTCGCCCAGAACGTTCCCACGGGTTCGCACGTGTGTGTCATTATGTGGAACAGTGGGGGGAAGGATAAGGGGAATGGGGAAATGTGGAGAGAGGGTGGTTAGGAGAAGGGTGAGGGTGTCTGAGGGTGAGTGGGGTCAAGGGCTGTGCCCTGACACATATCTTCGCACCTTCTTGGGCTTTTAGCCTGAGAAGAAGTTGGTCTTCACTTTCCATCCTCCATTCAGATGGAACCTGGAACAAGTCCAGTAGTTTTTCAGATAGCCGACACGGGGGCTCTTCCCTTTGTTTCCCTTTGTCTGCCTTTGGGGCTTGACTTGGGGACATGAGGGGGGACTCCAGGGGATAGTGGGGCCCTGGAGTTTCCTGCAACTCTATCCGATCAGCTTTTTGGGCTGATCGTTCGGCACTTATGCATTTTCTGCACAAGTCGATCACCTCATGAGGAGGTGAGGGATCTTCCCCAGCTTGGGTTAGATCGGTATGTCGTGGAGTTCTGGGGGTATTTGGCCCTGCACTTACTCCATGCAAGTTTCTAAAACCTTCAGGGACCAGCCCTGAGGTGGTTGCTAATGCCGGATCATGTTGATCCTCATCGTCATCTGACGATGGCCTTTGTTTTGAATCTCCCATCATGGGAGATTGCGGTTTCTTAATAAACCGCTCGTTTCTTTTTAGTGTCGCTGCAGATGCGACTTTGCCCTTGCAGGCATGTTTAGGCACCATAGGCGCTTCCGAGTCAGATGTTAAGATTATGTAGTTGTTGTGGGTTGTGTTGTAAAACACACCTCATACACTTAAAAAAGTGTGAGGTCTTTGGGTAGCTCAGCACACAAAGCCGTAAGTGATACAAGTATGTGTATTTTACGGTGGTGTGTAAGCAGTTACCTGGAGGTTCCCACTTACCCATGTGACTATATGTATCTAATTTACATATGACTTGGGGTTCAGGGCTATTGCCCTGACAAGAAGCTTCCTTTGTCATCTTCATGCCTTCACAAACATGGACAAGTCCAACAATGAGGAGTTTGGCACATCAGGCCTGATGAAGTCTGTTGTAGCAACTGCCAGGCAAAGTGTCCATTTCCATGATAGCCTGGACCAATACCTGATGGTGAAGATGGAGGCCATGGACGAAAACGACATCGATTATCATACACCAATATTGAAAAGGAAAGATGGCATTGCCATGGCAGACAAGTCATATGGCCCACATAGCCGACGCTGCACTGAGGCTGCTGCATGGCTTAAAACAATGATACGTGCATCCTACTTTGACAGAGCACTTCACATTGCCTATCTGATATCTGGTGTCAGAGGAGGCAACATGTGTAAGCGAGCTCAGGACCGACTGGAGGGTTGCAAACATACTTCCATTCTTACTTGAGCATCATCTCTGTTTTGCCGGCTGGCATCACGGCATCCGACATTTGAACAAGTCGCTCCCTTGTGATTGGACCCCACATGAGTCTGCTCAGGGTATGATGCAGCTCTACCACTCCGACCCTGAACAGAAATTGAGAATAGAGACAATGACAGAAGGTAAGGGAATGTCAGTGAAGTTCCAAAGGGCACAGCTGATGGGTTACGACTCACCAGAGGAGTATGAGAAGTGTGAGGTGCTCCATCACGCACCTAATGCAAATGGGAGTGTTGGCAAATACATGCTACCCGAAAATGAGGTGAGGAGGGCAGTTGCCAAAGCTGCGCTCACCATGGCACGACCTATGAAACACAAGGCAGACTTACCAGACTCACTGGAAGGGAATACGGTTGGAGACAGTAAGATAGAGTCTCCATCTCCCAAGCGAGTTAGGAAGAAGTCCAAAGCCACCTGCACACATGCTCCAGCAAAGGCCAAGCCTCCTCGCATGGTTCCTGGGAACAACAGTCAGGTGAATGAAGCTAGACTGCCACAGAATAAGGTGGCAGGACCACAGGGTGACGATGTGGTATCGGGGACACCGGATAATAACTCACCTGTATCCAGCATGTTAGAGATGGGCGGAAACGGACGACTCCGGAGCGGAATCGGAGACTTAGCGTGGAGGGACCTTGGCCTCAGCGACTCAAGCGGAGCGCTGTGCCATTGCTGTTTGTCCATTTGGTCCTTAATTTCACAGTAGGTGAGCAGGAAGTCTCTTGGGGGCATTTCAGGTCGATTTCGGACTGAAAACAGACAAGTATGTACAAGCGCCGATATATAAGGAAGGGGCAAAAGCACAAGGAGAAACAAAGGGTGACCGAATCGGAACGAAGACGTCCGAACGGGAACAAAGGGTTAGAGGGAGCGGAGCGGTACCGAAGGTCATAGGGCAAGACCTGTGATACATCCGAAAGGAGGTAGAGTGGGCGAGGCCCAGAGGGGCAGGAGGATGAGGGGAAGTGGGGGTGATGACTAACTGGCTAGAATAGAAAGAAGCAGTAGTCCAAATAGGGATGAGGGGGAATTGCGAGAAATACATTACAAACGGCGAGAGTGCCGGAGGCGGTCCGCGAAGCTCGGGGGTTGCGGAGCTTACGGAGGTTACGGAGGCGGGGTTGGAAGTCCGAGGAATATTGGCAATGGTGTTCACGTAGTATGAGGTCACCAATGCAATGGACTAAGACCGAGGTGGAGTCAAAGTCCGAGGTATGGACTATGACAGAGGCTCAGAGTAAGGTACGAACGGTGTCCGAGTGTGAAGTACGGAACAGCGGTGGATGGTCGTAACTTGGCGGAAGGGTGGCGGAGGAATGAGAGAGGGGACAGGTAAGGAAGAGTAGTCAGGTCCGAAGGTGGATATCGGAACGGACGGAGATAGCGTAGGGGATGACGGGAGGGTGGAGGTGTGGTGAGGGGGGAGCGGAGTTGTAGGAAGGGTGGCGAGTAGGGCGATGTTCGGTCCGAGATGAGTATTGGAATGGACGGAGAAGGGGTCGGAGAGGTAAGAGGAGGGGTGTGTTGCCGAGACCGAAGGTGAGTATCGGAAAGGCAGCGGTAGGTTATGACTCCGGAGGTGAAGAGGGTGGAGGTCCGGAAGTCGGGTCGGGGTCGGGTATGCACGGATATGACAGCTGTGCAGTCACGGGACTACCCCAACTACACTCGCCAATGTATGTACATGAAAAGGCACTGTTTTGTAGTGCAAGGGTTTATCCCTGCAACAACGACCTGGTATATCTACCATTCCTGTCAATGTGTCCTAGTGCCCTGCTGCCATCATCATCTTTCCATCCGTCCATCCGTCCATCACCCTCATCTGCACTTTCTCCCCACATGCATACCTCCCAACCAAGGTTGCCTGTTTGAGTGGTTCTTTGTTGTCCACCTGCCAGCTGGACAGCTTGCTAGATGGCCAGATGGCCTTTTTCTCTTTTGTTTGCTTGCAGGCTATTGTTTCCCCTTTGTCACTCTTTGTTTCTGTCAGAGTTGTAGATTATTGTCGGAGTCGGAATACTGTCAGAGATCTGGAATGCTGTCAGAGACTGGGAATATTGTTAGAGTCTGGCAGACTGTCAGAAGATGGATAGAAGACGGATTGGGTTTCTGTCTGAGTCGAGGTTGGAGGTGGTGCAGAGGTCTGTTGGAGTGCACGTGCGGATATGCGGGCGGAAATATGCGGCGCATCCGGAAGTGCTGTTCAAGGTTAGCAGAGTGGGATCGCGGCCTCAGTGACTCAGGTGGAGTGCTGTGCCCTGAGCTTGATGTTTGGGGGAGATCCCATATTTACGGACTGACACTTACAGCGGACTTCAAACAAGACTTGCAGGCAGAGCGGTGAAGGAGCGGAGCTGGATCACCTTATGTAACCAGTTTCCTACGTCCAATAACGATAATAGAGTTTGTGCTGATTTGCATACTGACCGTGTTTTGGTTGCCAAATATATGATTGTTCACTGTCTAAACAACAATAAACACCCCCCAACGATCTCACCTGATGTACAGATCGTCTACGGATAAAATTCTATATTGACTTTACTATGATTTCTAGTCAATATTACACCTATATTTACCACTTTTCAGTAGGATGTGATTTTCCTGATAATTTACTGAAGGAAAATTGCTAATAAAATAATTCCGCAATAAATGTTACTCAATACAGGAGTGACCAAACTGCTCTTTCTATCGCTTAGAGTGCGTGCTAGTTATCTAGCAGGTTCAGGATCGCTCACTTTTCTCCTGTGGTGTGATAACCAAGTATTGCTGAGAGATTATTCAATTAAGAAGTCCCTCCACCAAATTCTCACTAATTCTCACTATGACACTTTTGTTCAGCTGTGTCTAACTGACCCTAACTCACGCTTAGAGTGACGTGTTAGTTTTATATTAGCTAACAACTAATATTTGCTTTTATCTTTTGGAGCAAACGAACCAACCACTGGTGAGGAGAATTAAACTTTTTATTTCTACCTGAGGTTTTAGAGGGGGCAGAAGCGGTGGCCTTTTATGCTTTTCAGAGGCCTCTCTACTCCCACGCCTCGCACTAGTTACATGTGCTACATTTGTATTATAGATAGTTCTAGAATGATATAGGGGCTTGGGCTGTGTAAGCTTAATAATGGACTTAGGACATGACTCAGCAATAAGTAATTCATTTCTTTGTCTTTTGGGCCGATCTCAACGGGATCTTGTAGCGCTGAAGCTATGCTCTACACCGCCTTAATTACGAACGGTTATCTTTAGAAATGACTCGGCTATAAAGGAACTTTCTAGACTGTTCTCTAATTGACCCCTTTTTGTGAAGCTGCATCATTACTAATGTTCTAGAGCCTTCCCAATTAATTAACTGATCCGCGGACTTCTGAATCACTTCATGCTTATGATCCGAGATCCAGATCATCAATCATTCCTTTGTTCCGATTTATTTGGGCTTAAAATCAAAAAGTTTTGATGAATCATGGGAAAATATGCAAGATCCGGTTTTTTAGCATTTTCTCCTCTTCTGATGCGATCAAAAACTGTCCGCCCGCGCTGAGGAATACTCTATCATATGGTATTCGGTCCGCCAGACTTCCGGGCGCCAATATATTTCCCTTGAGTCACATTACTTTTTGTAAGAATTAGCAAATAAATATATATGAATTATAAGGTGTTTCGCCATTTGAGCGATATCTCCGTCAGTTTTGAAGCTTTTAGAATGAAACAAAACCGTGGATAAAGTTAAGAAACAGTCCTTCCAGATGGTAAAAAGATTACAGTCAAAAGTTTACTGGTTCCCGAGATATTTACATTTCTTTCCCAATGTTCCTTCTTATTCTGCCGTCTATGTGCTATTTTCTTGTTGTAGGGATATATTCTTTGAATATTACACCTATGTCAAGTTCTAGGCATGATTGTAGTAGATTAAATCTCATACTACATGGGTGTAGATATTTTATAATGATCTTCTAATGTCTGTCCAGTCTCATAAAGATCATGAGATCTGTTAAACGTCTGAACTTGTCACCTGTTCGTTGACTATTCTGATAGATCATTGTTTTATTCTTTGAATATTATTTCTCCTACAGCGGACCTATAGGAGGAGCGCGGACTCTGCAAGCACGGACTCAGAGGGGGGGAAGCCCCCTTTGCAGAAGGAGAGACTCAGACCAGACAGGGGGTACTCTAGTTGATTTCAGACTGAGGTCCCCAAAAGTATTTACAAGGTATATAAATAGGCAAGAGGGAATATAGAAAGGCCGGTCAGTCTGGTGTGGTCCGGCATGGAGATAAGCAGGGATTGTCAAACTAAATAAGGACAAGAGCCCGGGAACTGGAAACGAGGAACAGATCAATAAACAATAAGTGGCAAGGGTTATTGATGAATAACTGAATGAGATCAATGACCTAGTGCCACTAAAGAGGGGATCAAATGCCGATATTGGCAGGGAAGCAAACAATAAATGGCACTCGGCAAGGAATGAATGATAAGCTGCCAAGTGACAAATGGCCAGAGGAAAAGCGGAGGTCAGTGCATGGCGCCGATACAAGTCCACAAATAAGCGGGGTCGGTGCAGTGCCAACACAAGTCCATGAACAGAGGTTGATCTGCCAGCACTGTCACACAAGGACAGCATGAAGGCCAACAGAGGTACAGAGGGGAGTGGGAGTGTTGACCTGACCAGAGGTGTCAAGGGCAACCAGAAGTGGCCAGAAGGTGCAGAGATGGGCAGAGGGTGCGGAGTGGGCAGAGGGTGCGGAGTGGGCAGAGGGTGCGGAATGCATGGAAGCGGGGCATGGCTGTGACCACATAGCGGGAAGCAATGAGTGTGGTTTGGATGGAGACAAGGCAGGCATTACTGAATGCTGGGAGCACCAAGGGCTCAGGAACTGGAGGTAAGGTCGGAATACTGGCAGGGTCTAGGTTCTGATTATTGGCCAAGTCTCACGCAGTAAGGCAGGGGGCCAGACATGGGGTTGGGGGCTGGTTAGGATGGGTTTTGGGTCGGCGGATTCGCCTATCGGCATTGGTTTGCCGCTGATGGAGCCCCAGGATTTGTCGGTCGTGACAGTTTCCTTATTTTCTTTTTGTTGGCAAGGTTTGCTGACATGAACCATTTGTCCATTTCTTCATTCATTAATATTGCACTTCATCTGCCACTCCTTCCAGGCTGGTCCATTTAGTTACTTGTGCTTATTGTTAGAACTGGGTGAGGGTGGATGATTCTGGAGGGGAACTGGAGACTTAGCAAGGAGGGACCTTGGCCTCAGTGACTCAAGCAGAGTGCTGTGCCATTGCTGTTTGTCCATTTGGTCCTTAATTTCATAGGCAGCGAGCAGGAAGTCTCTAGGGGGCATTTCAGGTCGATTTTAGACTAAGGCCTAAAATGAGTATGTACAAGTGCTGATATATATAATGGAGAGGGCGAAAGCACAAGGAAACAAAGGGGGTCCGAATTGGAATGAAGGCATCCGAATGGGAACAAAGGGATGACAGAAGCAGAGTGGTACCAAAGGTCATAGGGCTGAACCTGTGGTACATCTGAAAGGAGGTAAAGAGGGCAAAGCCCAGAGGGGCAGGAGGATGAGGGGAAGTGGGGATGATGACTAACTGGCTAGAATGGGAAGAAGCAGCAGTCCA